TCGGTCATAACCTCGTTCTCAGGAACCTGAACCGTAGCAAGAGCCGTCACTACCTCCATTGCGCGACCGGTGAGTACAGGCTCCTCGGCAGTCCCATCAACTGCCATCTGGTCGACAGCAACCGGTGGTGGCGGAGGACGTGGACGGTACCGGGCCCCCCGGCCGCCCCGACCACCATGATGGCCTCGGAAACCTCCTCGCTGCCGAAGACCCGGATCAGCAGTCCCCTCAACAAAGCCGCCTAAAGGACCCAAGAAAGGCCTCTCTGCCGAACCATCACTTTGCCACGCATAGCCCCGACCGCCACCCGTGGATGAAGAGCCACAGTTTTGGCCAACCCCATAGGCATCGTAACCGTCATCCCCCCATTGACCTCGGGGCACAGCCACAACACGGATGGTCTGCGATGGCATGGTCGGTCGAGTAACTACGTGGGGAGGAGGGACCGGCGCCCTTGGTGGCGCAGCTCCCCGGCCCGCAGATGCAACCGCCGCACCGCCCGGAACGACCGGCCGAGGACCGGAGGCATGTCCTCCTCGCACAACCGGAGCCGGCGGCCGCCCCACAGCTGCCCCGGCAGGCAAGTTAGCCGCAGCCTGACCCCCAGACCCGCGCCCCGCCGCAGCCCTAGGAAGCTGCCCACCAGCTCGGTCGACGGCCGAAGCCGGCTCCGGCAGGACGCCCCTGCCACTCCCTTGGGCCAGCGGCAGCGATCCCCGGCCAACGCCCTGGCCAGGCGGCGGCGCGCCCCGGCCATTGCCCTGGCCAGGCAGTGGCGCCCTGGAGGTCCGGCCAGCCCCGCTGGGCATAAGCGGCCTCTTCCTAGGAGGAGGAGCTCCAGCCGACCCCGCCATCACGCCAAGGGGAGGGATGCGGCACGCTCGGCCAGGTCCGGCGGAGCGAAGGTGCGGCAGACGACGTCGCGCAACCCTAGGACGCGGCGGTGGAAAAGACGATGACGAACGTATCGTGCATGCGTCTCGGAATTCTGTATCGATTGGATCCACTACTGGCTGGGCCTCATACCCATCAGTTTTAGGCCCAAAAGAACCAGCCGGCCCAACAGCGCTCGGCTCAGCTCGGCCCAGGAGTCATTTCAAACGCTCCTGGCGAGCGGCACGGATCTGGGTCGCCGTGGCCGCCGGCGACGAAGCCGCGGCCACCTCCGGCGCCGATCGTGCACAATTCCGGCGATCATTCTTACGTCTCTTTACCAACGTCCAAGAATCCGGTCGAATCATGTCAAAAAGCGTTAACAATATAGGAAGAACACGTGGAGCTACATGCAATGTAGCTTCAATAACAAGTGTGTAGTCCAAAAGCGACATCTTGCTCGATATGATCAAGCATTTATACAAACTTCTCTGGATGGTTACTAATTAAATCGTTTGGAGTTGCATTTTGGGGTGTTGGTCCCTGCTCCCCAGTAGATGAAGCAAACTAAAGTTCACTCCAGCGCAAAAAGAAAAAAGTTCACTCAAACAGCAAAGGGCAGCAGGTTACGCCACGTGGTCACAAAACCCCCCGTTCCGACCTCATCCTGATATCCCCTCGCCACGAACTAACCATCCATCACACGAGGCTCCCGCTTCCTCGAGAGAAACCAGGAAGCAGAGGAGCGGCTGAGGCGAGCCCTTCACCTCGATCCAGCCAAGATGGCATTCGCCGCCTCCACGGCCTGCTGCAAGCCGTCCGCCCTGCTGGCCCCTCGCGCCTCGTCGTCGTCGCCGCCGTCCCAGGCGCGCCTCTGCAGGCCCTCCACCTCGGCCGCGTTCCACGGCCTCAGGGCGCCGGCGTCGGCGTTCGCACTCGCGCCTGCGCCGCGCCGCCGCGCGGCGTCCACGGGCATCGTCTGCGGCAAGGTGCGTATGCAAACCTCGCTAACCATCTCGCGCTCGTGGGGAACTCATGCGTGGTGAATGAACTGGTGACTGAAGTGGGTTGGATTTTGGTGGTGGTTGCAGGTGAGCAAGGGCAGCGTGCCGCCCAACTTCACGCTCAAGGACCAGGACGGCAAGACGGTGTCGCTCTCCAAGTTCAAGGGCAAGCCCGTCGTCCTCTACTTCTACCCCGCCGATGAGACGCCGGGCTGCACCAAACAGGTCAGTCATCTTTCTGCGACAGTTCCGTGCATCGATTGATTGGTCCACCGGAAAACTAATAGGGACAATTTACCACTTTGTCCGTCAGCATGCCAATCTATGCCGTCACTGACTATAAGCATATCCCTTCTTTTTAGAATGTATTGTTTTTCTCTTCTAAAAGTCAAATTTCGACTTTTAGAAAATGACACTTTTTCACACAGAAAAATACACCTTATAATACATCAGCATGTACTAGGCGGTTTAATATAGACTTGGGACCTCACGTGAGGTGGGCCGTGGGGGGCACTGAAGTTTCCTGCCACATGGAACTGTCATATGGAGTGCATTTCAGAAGTTGGCACCAAGACGTCAAATATCGAGCCACGAAGGTCAGATATGGAGGATGCTACATAAATTATGACGATTCTAACATATATGGCGACTCTGTTAGGGTGCCTTTTTTGTGCTAGAATCATCATATTGATAATTATTATGGCGACTTTGCTAGAGTTGTTCTAAGCCTCGGGAGGAGTATATACTGTCCATCTACTCGCTTATAGGGTGTTCATCATTGCGTTCTCCTCGCTCTTCCTTCTCCTCCTTCACAATCCTCTCCTTCTCTAGGTAGATACGTCACACAAAAAGGCATCAACGTGGATGTTCATGCGAAAAATTATGAGATCAACTATATATCAGTCGTCTTGGATTGTAATACAACAGCCGGCGTCCGTCTTCTTCCTCCTACCACTCATCCTCTTTCTCCTCCTCCGCTCAAACAACAGCCGGCCAACCTGCCACCGCCACGCATTGTCGATGGCATCGGCTCGCCGCCATACGCCCATACCCTTCCCAAGCTGCCACCTTCTCTAGTATGCTGTTGCTCCCGGTCATCGCTCTAACCGTGCCATCTTCTTGAGCTCGGGTGAGCCCCCTAACCAGCACTGCACCCGAACCACTCAATCTTGGACACCCCTTCCCACCTCCACCGACGACACCATGCCGTTTCAACCCTAGATCCGGTTGCTTCCCGCTTGGCCTCTTCGACGACCTTGTGTCTCGCTACTGCACACTGCAGGGCCCACATCTCCGCCTCCTTCTCTTCCTAAATCAAACGACCCTAATTGTATTTCCAGGCAACTTACATACATATCCCCTGGAAAAAAAAAGCAACTTACATACGACAAACGTGAAAATTGTCATTCATTTTTTGCCTCGTGCAGAGGATTATATATTAGTTGGATCGAGCCAGAGATTAATTCTATTATGATTTAAATACAGTAGTAGCTCTATTTATTTGCCACTTGTTAATATATCAAATTTCGTCCAAATCAGATCATTCGCCAGAAGACATTCAATCCTCTTGGTTCTGCCGGAGCTAGCTCACCACTTGGGTCTCCCTTCCTTTCCAAACGCCATGGCTCCACCACCGTCCGAGCTGGCCTCTCCTCCCCTAACCCCACTCCACAACACCACCGGGTCGCCATGACCATACCGTCTGAAGAAATCATGGAAGCAGCGACGCCGAGGAGGCAGCAGCCCATCGAAGAGGAGGCCGTCGCCAACGGAGGAGGGCGGACGTGCGAGCTGCCGACGTGGGCGCTGATCGGCGGCATCACGGTGGGCGTGGCGCTGGCGCTGGCGCTGTCGGTGGACGCGGGCCCGGCGATGGCGCTGGGGCCGGAGGGGCCGCTGCTGGAGGAGTTCTGGGACAACATGCGGCGGTACGGGCTGTACGCGCTGACGGTGAGCACGGGGTTCGCGTGGGCGCTGGTGCAGCCCATCTACGAGCTGCTGCGCAACCCCATCACCGCCGTGCTCATCATCGTGGTCATGGCCGGCGGCGCCGTGCTGACGGTCCAGGTCATCAACGCCATGGCCGGCAACTCCGACTTCGTCTACATGTACGAGCAGTAGCTCTAAATAGCTAGTTAATTAGGGTATTTGTACGTAGTATGTCTGGCTGATCTTGGACGAAACATGCATGATTTTGAGAGCAATAATAAAAAGGTGACACATATTAGATCATTGTTCTTTGGATGATGAACTGTGTGTATCTGCATGTGATAGTGATTGTTGTCCGTTGGATTGGATCCAATGATCTGAACGTGTAGGCGTGCGCGTTCCGGGACTCGTACGAGAAGTACAAGAAGGCGGGGGCGGAGGTGATCGGGATCAGCGGGGACGACGCGGCGTCGCACAAGGCGTTCGCCAAGAAGTACCGGCTGCCCTTCACGCTGCTGAGCGACGAGGGGAACAAGGTGCGCAAGGAGTGGGGGGTGCCGTCGGACCTCTTCGGGACGCTCCCCGGGCGGCAGACCTACGTGCTGGACAAGAAGGGCGTGGTGCAGTACATCTACAACAACCAGTTCCAGCCCGAGAAGCACATCGGCGAGACCCTCAAGATCATCCAGAACCTCTGAATCTGAACAACTTTCTCTCAAAGATTCTTTTCCCGTCGATCGATCGGTCTCTGCCGATGTAATCGTATGATATGATATACTCCTGGACATGATCCATGCGTAGAGCTGTTTTGATGTGTAATCCAGTGTACATGTATTGAATATGTTCAGTTCGCCAGCAGTGCGCACCTTCTTACAGTTAAATACAGAACGAAACGGGGGAGTACGTAGGTAGGTAACTACGTTTCTCACCGTGAGCGACACCGAGCCATGCATTGACTTGTGCGACAGCCTTCGACGCGGCGCCTGTAAATTTACCAGAACCTACTGCAATTCAGCTTGTGTACAACTCTCTACTGGATAGGCGTCGCCAGCAGGAACGCGCGCAGCCGGTATCGTGCACGGCACGGGGATCTTACGGAGCCACGCCCGCCACGAATCAACCTGAACCTTCTTTTTTAACCCAAACTGCACTGCACAAATGGATGACAAACCCTCGTGAACCAGGTGGCCGGCCATGCGCCCGGCGCTCACTGGTCAGCGGGCGGCAACCGGATGTGCGGCTCATCCTATCACCAGGCCGAAAGCCCCACCACCGTCCCGACCGGACCGGCTCGATCGCATGGGCGGCGATACCGCTAAAGCGCACCACGGGCCCACGCACACGATTCGTTTCACTCTGCCTTCGACTCTGGCTACAACTTGTGAGGGTCAGTTTTAGAGGTAATCCATAGCTGATCATGGGCACAGATGCTTCGAATGAACAGCAACGTAGACATAAGAGCAACAAAAAAAACGAATCTGGAAATTTTGCACATCAAAGACGAACAAGTTCTCTAAAGGCGTGCCAATTTCATGGCGATTTGACATCGGAGAAGCTTGGGACAGGAAAAAACAAAATCACTGCCCAAAATAGAAAATCATGAACCTTTCTCAAAATGCCGATTTTCATTTTGACCAAAGATATTGAAAAAAAAAGGATTCAGAGGTGAATAGTGGTGTTATTGTTTGGCAATATGCAATGCTGTTATTTTTTCATGGCTCACATCCCATGATGTGTTTGAACTTGGAGTTTCGCATGTCAATAGAACATCACCCTATTAATATCTCGTATTTTTATTAAAAGAATGCTTGATTATCTAGATATGAATACATTGTGCCGCTTTAAAATTTCAGTTTACCTGATAAACATGAGTGCAGGTGCATCGTCGATCAAAGAAATCATAACAGATAATTGTCCGACTCATTTGGGAAAACAAATTTGCCCGCTAACGTATATGCATCTCCTCGGTTGTGGGCTCTTGGGCCCTCCGTCTGCCACTTTGGTGTGGACAATTTTGCTTTGATGAGTAGATAGGATAGGCTTAGTCCATAGAGGTGTTTAATCGACAATGGGATTAACACTGCGTCATAATAAGATGGCTCTACTTCTCTCTGCTCATGATGCCAATCAAATCAGCAGTGTCAAGGAATAGATACCCACCGTGTCTCGTTGGTCTATGTTCGAGTGATGTTAGGATGTGGTGGACGATGTTCGACATCCTCCTGGCCTCCTGGGCGACAACATAGCTTGTGAAGAGTGTGTGGTTGTTTTGGAGTGTGGCGTGCAAATGGTGTCTGGTTGCAGTGATTGTCTTTTCTGACCATGTTGGATGAAGATGGCGGCACCAGGATCTGGCGGACTTGGGGACGATCCCTGACTGGCGTGTCACAAAGACTCGGCTATGTCGCGTGCAACAAGTCGTTTAACCAGCTCAATAGGTAGCATGCCTTGCAACAGAGCTCTTTCGGTGTGGCGGTTGCTCGCGCACCTTCTCCGATGGTGCACATCGGCGGCGGAGCCCAATGATGGGTGACTAGTAGGTTTGGGCACAGGGACCTCCGAGGTCTCTTGGAGTGACCTGTGTACACAATGTAATTTGTTTGTTTTAACACATAGAGATGCTCATACATACGCCCATTAACCCTTCTGAGCGCACATGTACACACCCTACCCCTATGAGAACCTACGAGAGACTAAGCCAACACATCATCTTAAGATTTACGAAGTCATCATAGGCGCCTCCGTAGCCGACCAAAACGTCTCCTCACAATGAACGGGCATCACCAGAAAGCCTTAAATAAATTCAGAAAATTGCGGGCATCAATGCCAAGCCTAGGACTTAAACTTTGGGGGACTGGTTTCCACCATAAAAACTTAACCATCTGAGCTAGGATTAGTTCGCCACATTGTAATTTGTTTGCTAAACAAACATGTGGTAGTTCTTTAAGAAAACCGAAAAAAAACATGAAAGACATATGAATCAACGAGACCCTTGGTGCACGTAGCATACACCTCCAGGGGCCCACCCCACCTTGCAACTGCAGTAGGAGGAACGGTAATAACACAACCAAATTATTAAGAAAGAAAATAATAAGATGGAAAATCCGGCATCCGGCGCGGCATCTCCCCTAATCCCTCCCCGCCGATCCCCAGCATCTTCCGCCGATCCGCACCTTGGCCTCACCATCCAGCGGCCCAGATTTAATCACCCGCACTCCGCCTCCCCACCCGCCATTAAATACCTCCCTCTGCTCTCCACCTTCCTGCCCACCCCGCTCACTCGCTCCTCCCCTCCCCGAGACGCAAACAGAGGCACAGAGCAACCACCAAGTGACGAAACCAAGAAACGCCGGCGATCGAGGATTCGAGATGGAGATCCTGGAGCAGCCGCTGGAGGCCGTCGCCTTCCGCATCCACTCCCTCCCCGAGCCCGCCGCGGCGTGGACCTGCCTCGCCGCCGTCCTCGCCGCGGCCGCCGCTGCCGGCGTCTGGCGCCTGCGCTCCTCCACGCCGTCGTCCACCGTTATAACCGAAGGATCTTCGAAGCCTTTGGTGGAGCTGGATACGTCCCCGTTGTTGGTGCCAGCGGAGACGGAGAGGTCGCTCGGGAGCTGGAGATCGTGTGAGGCGACGTCGTCGTCGTCGCTGCCGGCGCTGTCGCCGAGGGAGAGGTACACGGCGTACTACCACGACTGCGGCTGCGTCGGATGCTGCGACGTGGAGAGCGACGACGAGGAGGCGGAGGAGGATCGGGATCCGGAAGATGACTACGGCGTGTACGGGCCGGCGGAGATGGATCCTTTCGAATGGGAGGTCGTGAGGCCTCTGGTGCCTCTCATGCCGGCGACGGCTGCAGAGACCGGCCGGTACCTGAGCCCGAGGGCGCTCAGCGGCAGCGTGGTGCGGCTGTGGGATCAAGGCGCCGACAGGAGCTTCATGACGGCGGCGGCCAGCCGGAGACGGATGGGCAGAGCTGGCACCGTCTCGAGCTTCTGATCTGCCTCATTTTTAGATGAAAAAATTGGCAATAAATTGTAATCTTTTTAGGTGGAAGCAAAATGTTTCCGTAGCTTAATCAGGTAGCCCATGTAACCTGCACTGCACATACAATGTTTTCGTCCATGCAATCGATCGGTTACTGCCTGCCTGCAACTCGAGCTCCTCCGCTGAATGCTGACGATGCCTTGCGATGCGATTTCCAACACCTGTTGCCTTGCAAATGCTAGTTACCATTGGCAGTAACAGAATGGCTACGTACCAGTGTAGCCAAAAGCTTATTATTTTTCTCCATAGCTGCAGCTGATTTCATGTTGACAAAATGGTTTGGACGTGACGTTTCTTGCCAATCACACGGGACGACACGCAAGTTTACTATACATCATGTGATGATGTGCCTCACCTACCTCTGCGCCCTTCCAGAAGGAAGGCCCTATCTTTCTCGGCACTCTCCCTCCACTAGCACTAGCAAAGCAGCAGCAGCAGCCAGACAGAGTGATCAATCAAGCAACCAGCCAGAGCCAGTCACCAACAAATTCACCACACGACACCGTGCCAGGACAGGACTCCGTGAACGAACCCCACATGCCTCGCTCTCCGATCGTCAAGCTGATGGTGGTAATGGCAGCAGTAGCTGAGCCGCCACCGGACATTCAGACGCACGGTCCGTATGCCCGTTGCACCTACCGCGGCGCCCTGCAGTTAACGTTGCCACGGTTGGTGCGGGGGGCACCCGGTTGGGTGCGACATTACTGCACACGCAAGCACGTACTCCCTTCTTTCCAGTTTATAAAGCTTAATTTAAAAATCTCATCAACCAAGATAGATGATGAGTGGTGGAATATTTTTTATAATTTGCAAAAGCACTCAATTAATGCTCTTGTTTTCCTCAAAAAAGTATGTTTACCAATGCATTAATTGCAATGCATGCATGCATAAATTACATGCATTCGTCAATTTTCTCTTAATACTTGCATGCAATGATTTAATGCATTTTGGAATCTGAACATGTGATGGGAAACAACCAAATTGAATCTTATAAAATGGAAAAACTAAAATTTTAAGATAAGCCCTATAAACCGGAAAGGAGGGAGTATGCCTCAAGCTTGAAGCGAGCCTTCCGTCACGGGCTGGAATGACTGATGGTAACTTGTGTGGCCCGCCGGACACCGGCGGCGGCATTCGTTGGCCCGTTCGGGCGGCGGCTTGTCCTGGCTCGGCTCGGCTCGGGGACGGTCGGGCGCCTTTCTTTTAAACCCTGCGTGAATGGCCCAGGACGGACGGACTAGCGGACGGACGGTTGGTGGTCGGATCTCGTCTCGCCGCCTGTGTAGTGTAGCGTAGGTCGGTCTTGTGGCTCTGCTGCAGTGGCGTAGTGGTTGTGGTCGGTGCTTGGCAGCACATAATCATGGCTCTTCTTTGTCTGAACAGTACTCCTCAACAGGTAGACTCGACAGTCGTAATTTATCCAACAGGATTCTCTCCACAAAAAACCTACACCTTTCCAATTATAAGTTGTTTTATGTATTTCAATATGAACTGCATACAAACTGAAATAAGTGAACGAACACACAAAAACACGTCTATACACATCCGATTTAGAAGAAAGCTACTCCCTCCGACCCATATCAATTGTCGCTGATTTAGTACAGCTTTGTTGCGAACAGAGGGGGTAACTAACACTAAACACAACAACGCAGTAGAAACAAGACAAGATCCACTCACCAATAATAGAACCTCTACGGAGCAAGCTTTTATTTCTTCCCCTCCAAATAATATCGCCCACGGGGTGTCACAAACATTTATTGTTTATTCAGTATTCACCCACTGCCAGTTGTACTACACACTGATGATCTTGCACTGACCAAGGAGCTCATAAAATGAGGACAGATCCAAGTCCGAGGGCACGGGGGCTCTCAGAGACGATACAGTAGCGAAGTTACATGATGATGCTAAGGTACAAAACTGATGGCTGTCTTCAGTGTGGCTTTGGCACGAACCCATCTACCGCGAAGTTTCGTGTAGCGGCAGGTAACGCTAGCCGGACGCCGTCGAGTTCGGGCTTCGCTATTACTTGGCAGCCAAGACGAGACCTGAAAAAGGTTAATTTAACAAATTATTCTTGGTCGAAACATTTAAAATAAAACAATTAACAATTTTCTTTTAGGAAGTAATACTGTAGTACAAAGCTACAATGGCGTTTATACATCTACAGCCTACCTGTATGGCCATGTGGGATAACATAATTTGCTATTCTATCAGTTAGTTCTATCTGATGCCCGTTCATGGCTAATAGCCTAATACAAGGCCTCATTTGGTTTGAAGGATTCTCATAGGCAAAACATAGGAACAGGGATTCCAGAGGAAAACTTTCATTAAATGCATTGGGTTTGAAGGAAAGGGGTACAATATTCCTTAGGAATACTATTAATTTCCTGTGTTTTTGGAGGAAACTACACATCCCCTCAAAGCTATTTTTTGCGTAGGAATGAGGCAATGCAATTCCCGAGGATGGCAAGTGCTATCCTATCATACTCCTGTACTACTTTTGAGTCCTACACTTTGGTTTCCTCCAAACCCTGAACCTCCTGGTTGACACTGTAGCACGACTTATGGTTCCTAAAGGTTGCATATATAGATGCTGGAAGGATTTTTTTCACAATGGCACAATGTATAAGTACTCCCTCCGTCCCATAATATAAGATATTTCTATATGCTTATTTGCATGACACATAGATATTTCTATATGCTTGTTTGCATGAAACATAGATATTTCTATATGCTTGTTTGCATGACACATAGATACTACTAAACTTGAGGGATTCATAAAAGATGGATAAACAAAAAAGAATCCTTTAGCAGCTAGATATCCACTTACGTTTCTGTCAGCCCAAATGCAAGGTCAAGCATATCATTTTCTTCATCTGTTGGATCCTCTAGCTTGTTATAGTCCTTTACATCCTGGATAAGTTTCAATTTGCTAGTCAGAAGAACTTTCAGCTTCTATAACTGAAGAGAAAAAAAACAGCATGGGTTATATCTACAACATACCATAACTATGACATGACAAGTGGAACATGCGAGCGACCCTTCACATGCTCCTGCAGTAACCAAAATAGTAGGTGAGGTTATTATCTAAAACTGAAATCAGCTGACAAGATCGTAAAAGGGCACATTAATATGCCCATTTAAAAAGTGAAAGACGACAACGTGATGTAACAGACAGTGCATGTGATGGGGTGTGAGGTGAATAAACACAGGTAGTTTAAAAACCTTCAAGTTCTATGTCATTTTCATGAGCAGCTTCTAACATGGACATTCCGACAGGAACACTTATCGTCTTCTCAGTGCCATCCTTGTTCACAAATGTTACAGAGATTCTGTACAGGGCAGGGAAAATTCAGAAGACCAGTTCTTTAACCCAAATTAAACAATTGCTTAAAGCTGAATACTAACACTCAGTAAAACCGATCAAGCTATTGTTCAAGGCCGCTATTTCCTCAAGATGTGGAAGGAGAAGCCCATCAAAAGGTGATAAAATGTTTAACAAAGAAAATAGCATTAGGAAATGGTCTGGACTAATATACTGCTTACTCCAAAGCTACAAAGATGGCTAGGTGTTTAAATTTCATGCTGCATAAAAAATGGAAGAAGACAAACACACTCACTTCTCCTTGTCCTCACCGCCTTCATCATGATGACTACTTGTTGCGGTGGAGAAGAGGATGCTCTTCTGAAAAATAAAGACCAGTGCAAATGATAAATCATCACTTCCGTACATACAAACAGATTTCAACAGAAGGCAATGCTTTTCTTTTATTGAACACGCAGAAGGCAATGTTTACTTGCACATATAAGTAGAGTAGGTGGCAAAATGATACAGGTAGAGAAAATATAATCTCTACTTTTTTGAACAAACTTCAAAATGAATCTGAAACACGAAGAAGAAATGTGTGCATCATGTATAGAAAAAAACAATTCTATTGCTGCTTTGGTTATATTCTCGATCACAGCAGGAACACAAGGCAATAAGGCATAACCATGTTCTATACTAGCAACGATTATAACAGTACAAAAGGACTAACCGCTGGGGCTGAATGCCGGCTGACTTGACCTTGGTAGTAATTGCCACTATTGGTTGTCAAGTTTCCTGCTGCAAAAAGTCAACAAGTTGAGAATGCAGAACAAAATAAATACCTTCACTAAACTAGGCATGCGTAAACCCGGAAGGTTTCTCAAAATAAGTAATCAAGAAACATGACGAGACAGTTTTAGTAGGCTGAAAACCAGGATCAAACATCAAAGGAGGGTTCATTGAACTGCTTGGGAAAACCTCACTAAGCCAAAAGTTCAAGGAGGTGTTGGATTCAGAGACTCAATGATTTTCAACCAGGTTTTGCTCACTAGACAAGCCTGGCGTCTTCTCATTTTCCCAAACAGTATATGTGCAAGACTCCTCGAGGCCATATACTACCCAAGAGGGAACCTCATTGCATTATCTGGAGGATTAGGGATGGAAGTAAAGTTCGTATTTGGAGAGACAATTGGCTGCCAGGGAATCGTAACCTAAAGATCAGTTCAGAAAGGGGAAGTTTAAGATTATCTCGAGTCAAACAACTATTGATCCCAGGAAGAAAAGAGTGGAACACTCAACTGATTGCAAGAAGTTTCCTCCTGCACGATGCTGATCAAATCCTGAATATTCGCCTCCCCGAGTATAATTTTAAAGATCTCATAGCCTGGAACTATGAGACAAATGGTATGTTCTCGTTCAGAAGTGCTTATAAACTGGCTTATAACCTCACGGTTGAGAGTCCTGTGCAAGAGGCTGCGAGTAGAGCAGGTGACTGTTCTAGACCTATCTGGCGTAATATTTGGTCTGCCCCTGTGCCTAATAAAAGTTCGTGTTTTCCCCTGGCGCCTAGCTGCTGATAACTTGGCTACTAAAGAGAAACAAATGGAAACCCATGCTCTATACGGGGTGTTGCAGAAGAAGATAATTTTCATGCAGTGGTTAACTGGTACAAAGGCAAGAGCTCTTCGTATGGAAGTTAGGAAGGGGTGGGATATTCCTGAAGAATCGCAGTTTGCTTATACAGGGAAAGATTGGCTGCTGATCTTGATTGCAAATCTAAGCAAGGAGACAAGGGGGCTGGTCCTTCTTTTGTGTAGAGTGTGGTACCTAAGAAACGATGTAATCCACAATAAAGGAGAAGCTCGCAAAAAAGATTCAGTTATTTTCCTCCAAAACTGTGCAGCTAGTCTCAATATGTGCAACTTAAAGCTGGGTGACTATAAACGCAAACACCCAATGTTTGAGCCTGGAATTAGTACACTGGCACCAGCAGAGGACGTGTACAGCCGAAATGAACCTGGTGAGACGCTGTGTTGGTTGGCGCCATTGTCTGGCTGGACGAAAACTAATCTAGACAGACCATTCTCTCCAGCGACAGGCGAAGCTAGTATTGGTGTTGTGGCTAGAAGGTCTGACTGTTATGTTCTCTTTTGTGCAGCTCGTTCTGTTACTTGCTCGGATACAGAAGAAGCTGAGCTGTTAGCTACCAAAGAAGGAATTGTACTTGCTAATTCTTCGTGCCAGGTCTCCTTTTCCATTGAAACTGATTGTGCCTATGTGATACAAGTTAGGAATGCTAAAGGGAGTGACAGTCAGGTCCAGCGAATGCGGGCTTATCAACGAAATCAAAAGTCTTCAGAGTCATGTTGCAGATATCAAGTTTGCGAAAGTGAAGAGGGAGAGAGAGTTCAATAGAGTTGCCCGTGAATTAGCGCCAAATGCTAGAATCAGTGGTTTGGTAGGGTTCTGAAGAGCTTAATTCTACTCCTGACCAATGCCAGGCTTTGGTTTCTGAAGATTGTAAGAACCTTATATAGCTTTAATGAAACAAAGCCCTCTCTTCAGTGTCAAAAATAAAATAAAAAACATGACTCCCAACTCAGGAATTGGCTAACATCAACGATGACTATCTCATTACAATGGTAGCCACAAAATGTGAAGCATTTGGTCCAAGCACAGCATACTTCACATATGCATCACATTTATACAAATTGACGTTCTTGAGCCATTCCTAATTAGGTCCAAGCACAACCATTTTCTCCTAATTCCTAATGTAACAGACAGTGTAGCAGGAAGAAGGGTGGAGAGGAGATACCAACCAGCTCTGGTCTCGCGCAGGAGCCGCGCCCCGAGCTGAGAGATCCTGGAGAGCATGGCAGCAGCGGAGCCTACTGCCTCCGAACCCTAGAAGAACAATTCAAGAAACCACGAATCAGCACCACGAACGCCGGGCTGCAGGCCCAAAGAATCACCACGCAGAAGCAAGAGAGACAGTCTAGCAGCGGGAGCGATGGATCAAGAAAAAGCTAGAGAGGCGAGGAGACGAGCCTACCGGAAGCGGTGGGGGCCAGCCGCCGGTCTCCTTCCACGGCGGCGGGTGTGGTGGAGGAGGCTGGCTGAGCCGTGGTGGGGCCGTGTGGTCTCGAACCACCGCCGCCGCCTCCAGTACCGTGGGCCGGGGGCAAGTGGGCTGGAGAATGACCGTTAGATGGGCCGCGAGGAAAGCCCGTTAGCTAGGACATAAGATCCCGGAGGAAACCCTTCCCTAAACCCTCCTCTTTCCTCCTCCCCACTCCGTCCGCCGCCGGACGCCTGCCGCCTCCACCGAGGCGAAGCTCCGTCCCGCCACCGCCGCCGCCTCACGCCGTAAGTAGCCCCCAACTTCCCCCTCCGCTCTCCGCTCGCGTCCCTGCGTGCCGACCGTCTCGCATAGCCGTGTGCCCGTGATGATCCTCGCGGATGTCTGCGGCTGTGGACTCGTGCTTGTGTAGATTTGTGGCTTGGTTCAACCTGCCCATGCTCATCCCTGGTTGAATCTCTCAAGAGTTTGCGGACAGAGCAACTGCTTCATCTGTTTCGCGCTGTGTCTCTCGTATCTGACTGTAGGATTTGTGACAAGCGGCTCAATAAGGGTTCGCTGATTTGATGCGGAAGATAGGCGATGGTCGGCTAATAGTTTTCTAATTTGATGTTTTTCTGATTGATTCAAGGCTGCCCGGCTAGTTTAGTTGCAGCCGATTTAGACACCTGGCGTGGTATTTTGTCAGAAGTTGGAACTACTTCTGCTGTCTTCCTACTTTTATTTATGCTAGTTTTGTAGTACAATCCATCGAGTATTTGACGCGATGAGAATGAAAAGCATGCATGTGTTGCTGTTGCACTTCCTCCTATGAGAGGATGTTGCTACCATGTAAGAATGGTGCGAGTGTTTCAGATCCTGAGTTAGTGTTCTGGTCTGATGCAACTGGGCACACTTGTGGTTCAATTCAACTATTTTTAGCTGCCAACAAAGAAACTGGGGCTTGACTTGCTGGTATCTAGGTGTGTAGATGTTTCTTTTTTCCTTTCGTATAAGAACGGTGTGCATGTTTAAGGCCCTGACTTGGTCTCCTGGTTGTGACCCCAACTGTTTATTCTTGTGCTTGAAGCCTTGCACTATGTTGAACCATCAACGAAGAAACTGGGGCTTGACTTGCTGGTATCTAGGTGTATAGATGTTTTTTTTTCATATAAGAACGATGTGCATGTTTAAGGTCCTGACTTAGCCTCCTGGTTGTGACCCCTACTGTTTATACTTGTGCTTGAAGCCTTGAACTATGTTGAACCATCAACAAAGAAACTGCGGTTAGCCGGCCCTTTTGTCTTATGTATTTATTATAAATCAAAGGTTTCCTTGTGTGTAACTACTAACTAGGATGCACTGATAATGATGGGCATGAATCTAGAGTCTTCACATGATTACAGATAGGTATTTTTTATGCAGTGCTTGCTAGATTTCTCCCTGGCTATGATTTTTGGAAATTGTGATTTCTTGCATTTGCGTGTAGACTTTTTTCTGCATTAGTTTTTTCACCTGTTTATCTGCATTGGATTGACATGACATTTTGTTTGTATCACAGGAGTAAGTAGCCAAGCTTACATCGGCAAGATGGTGCAGTATAATTTCAAGAAGATCACTGTTGTCCCTCCTGGGAAGGACTTCATCGACATAATCTTGTCCCGCACTCAGAGGCAAACACCAACTGTTGTCCACAAGGGCTATGCTATCAACCGCATTCGCCAGTTCTATATGCGCAAGGTTCGCTATACCCAGCAGAACTTCTATGAAAAGCTGTCCACCATCATCGATGAGTTCCCCAGACTGGATGACATCCACCCTTTCTATGGCGATCTCCTTCATGTGCTCTACAACAAGGATCATTACAAACTTGCCTTGGGTCAGATCAATACAGCTAGAAATATCATTGCAAAGATCTCCAAGGACTATCTGAGGCTGCTCAAGTATGGAGACACCCTGTACCGGTGCAAGTGCCTGAAGGTAGCTGCTCTCGGTCGCATGTGTACTGTTCTAAAGCGTATCAGTCCTAGTTTGGCATACCTGGAGCAGATCAGGCAGCACATGGCCAGGCTTCCATCAATTGACCCAAACACCCGTACTATCTTGATTTGTGGGTATCCAAATGTTGGGAAGAGCTCTTTCATGAACAAGGTTACAAGGGCTGATGTGGACGTACAGCCTTATGCTTTCACAACAAAATCCCTTTTTGTTGGCCATGCAGATTACAAGTATCTGCGGTACCAAGTGATTGACACTCCTGGGATCCTTGATCGGCCTTTTGAGGACAGGAACATCATAGAAATGTGCAGTATCACCGCTCTCGCCCACTTGAGGGCTGCTGTGCTGTTCTTCTTGGACATCTCTGGTTCTTGTGGGTACACTATTGCTCAGCAAGCTGCACTCTTCCACAGTATAAAATCCTTGTTCATGAATAAGCCTCTGGTCATTGTGTGCAACAAGACTGATTTGCAGCCGCTTGATGGGCTTTCTGAAGATGACATGAAGCTAGTAATGGAGATGAAGTCAGAGGCTATGAAGACTATACCTCAAGGTGGAGATCCTAGTGAAGAGGGTGTTTTGTTGACTATGAGTGCTTTAACAGATGAGGGTGTGATGGCTGTTAAAAATGCTGCATGTGAGAGGCTTCTTGAGCAGAGGGTGGAGATCAAGATGAAATCAAAGAAGATCAATGACTGCTTAAACAGGTTTCATGTTGCTATGCCCAAGCCTCGTGACAACAGAGATAGGCCTACTTGCATTCCTCAGGCTGTTCTTGAAGCTCAAGCGATTGCTGCTGCAAAGGAAAAGAAGAAACTTGAGAGGGACCTTGAGAATGAGAATGGAGGTGCTGGTGTCTATTCCGCCAGTCTCAAAAAGCATTACTTGTTGGCTGATGATGAATGGAAGGAAGATATTCTCCCTGAGATATTGGATGGGCATAATGTTGCTGATTTCCTGGATCCGGATATCTTGGAAAGGTGTGAGGAGCTGGAAAGGGAGGAGGGTCTTCGTCTTGAAGAAGAAGCTGCTCAGGATGCTTTCATGATTGATGGCCATGATGAGTTAACTGAAGAACAGCGTGAGATATTGGGTAAGATTAGGAAGAAGAAGGCAATGCTCATCCAAGAGCATAGGATGAAAAAGAGTACTGCAGAGAGCCGTCCTATTGTTCCAAGGAAGCATGACAAGGATAGGAAATTCACAACCAAGAGACTGGGCAGGCAACTCACATCCATGGGTGTTGATCCTACTGCCGCTGTGAACCGACTTCGCAGCCAGTCAAGAGGCCGTAAGCGTGAGAGGTCACTGAGCAGAGCTGATGGTGACGACGCTATGGACGTTGATGGCCAGCACTCCGACAAGAAGCTGCGTACGAGGTCGAGGTCTAGGTCCAAATCACGACCAATTGAAGAGGTTGTACCAGGTGACGGGATCCGGGACGTTGCTCAAAAGAAGAAGGCCATCAAGAAATCGAGGGACTCTGTCAAGAACAGGAACAAGGAGGCTCGCCGTGGAGAGGCGGATCGCGTCATCCCCACCTTGAAACCGAAGCATCTCTTCTCTGGAAAACGAGGAGTTGGAAAGACCCAGAGGCGATAAACCAGTCAATGTGGACATTGCTGCTTGCGATCACTCATTCAGGTGTGTAAACTGTGCTTTCACTTGGTTATTCTTCCACCTAGTTAACAAATCTTTCTCCCGTATGATCATAAAACTACTCTGTTTTCCCCATAAGGATAGGGTTATTAATCCTTAAATTATGCTGATTTTGTAAATCGAATGCAAATGTTAGAACCAGCACTGATCTTGTAGTCAATTGGTTGCAGTGTAGTTAGCTGCGAGTTCTGTTTACGGATTATACTGTCAAATTGGATTAGTAATTTTCTCAATAGATATAGATATGTAAAAGCATCGTCATCATAAACTTGTGATTGGTGATGCAAGCACCCAGGATCTTATAGAAAAGTTTGTAAAGTATTGCTCGAGCTACATCCACATGTTTATTGTAAGGTTGAAGCTCAGCCCTTTGATTTTCTCCTTGTGCAGGAACTACAGGATCACTGCCATTTTCCGTGCTGGGCATTGCGGGAGGCTTCAGCACCAACCTGGCAGGAGGAGATACTATCTACTGCATTTTTACTTGTGTCTGGCCTTTGCTCTCTGTTACGACGCTTGGTCCTCCTTTGTTAGACTATATCGTTGCTGAACTACATGGTTGTACCTTCGGTTTACTCTGCACTTGTGTGGAGCGGAGTCAAATTTTGTTTGATGGTGTTATTAATGTATTTGAACGGGCCGCTTGTTTTCCTTTTCGTGAAATGTTTTGATACTGTGATATTGCACCTCGGTCTGGAACCTGTGAGTTTCAGTAATTTCAACGGGCACCCCCTTAGTTGCGCGTAGCATTGTCAGGCCCCAGTGCTTGCGGTTGGTAAATGGCAAGTGCTTGCAAACTTGTGATTTTTCCAGGCAGAGTAGCTGTTTCTCAAGAGGAACTTAATCATACTTGGTGAGTTATCTAGTCTGGTGAAATAACTTGTAGGATTTTGACCCCTCTTGTTTCCTTTTGCAACTGAAGATTTTCTTGTTGTTTTAAAACTTAACAACTCTGCATGTTCTACTGCGAGTTATAACTTTATTCTTTCTATACTCACATGGATACAAGGCATACAACGGTGCATGTAAGGTTTGGCATTAAAAATCATGGCAACAGCTGCGATGGAGATGAGTTTTAGGACAAAGTTCCCAGTCTAGACAAAGTTCTTAGTTTGGACAAAAACATCAGTCTAGCATGGGAGTCATGCGTGGCTGATTG